GGTCTGGTAGAGATGCATGTCAATTATACAACATGCTTCTTCATCACTGTGAGTCTTTGCTAACAATAAAATAAGAATAAGAGTATTTCTAGTAAGTAGAGCGGAGTAAATGGAAATATATTGTATACCATCCAGGTTAACTAAGTTAACTGGTATGTTTATTTCTGCTTTTTGTTCTTCTTAAAGCCTGGCTTTGTTTTTGGGATAAATACCTTATATATTTAAGTAAGTAAATTAACGATCAATTCTGTTATTATTATCATTATTATTATTATTATTATTAATGTATTTGGTTGTTACAGGGTCTCATTATACAGCTTGGACTCATAGTGATCCTCCTGTTTTTAGCCTCTGCAGCACTGGGATTACAGGTGTATGCCACTATCCCTGGACTCTGCCTGGCTCAGCCCACCCTGGGGGCAGGGTTGGTGCAGCATGTGGTGCTGGGGGTTGAACCATAGTCTTTGCGTTTACCTAAGCTTGCCTAAGTAGGTACTTTAGTCTGATGAGTTATCTCACTGGCCACATATCAATGTATTATTCTTTGCCCACTGTAAGCTAATAACAGTGGCTCCTAAGCATGCTGCTCATGGGAGCAGTGACAGCATCACTGAATTTTTTGGACCTATAGATTCTGATTCCACCACAGATCTTGTTATCAAAAGACTCTAGGGATCAAGCTCAGCAATCTGGTTTAACATCCACTCAATGAATCTGACACACCTGAAAAATTCAAAACCACCATCATATGGATTGCACACCTTATTGCTATTGATAGATTAAAAAAATAGACTCACTGAGGGTTGGTTCCATTATTCTGCAGTAAATTGCTCCAGGAGTTGTAACCCATCTCCACCTCTCTTTGCAAGGAAGGATGATCACATGTTTCCGGCTTCCCTCCTGGCAATATGTTTTGACAATTACAAATACTTGATAGCTGGTTTGAGTGGTATGGGTAGAATATAGAGACTCTTGCAGCCATGTGGGAGGTAAGAACAATGCAAGTAGAATTGAAAATGGAGACTCGTATGTTTCTGGGTCAACGCCTGCCTTGCGCGTCAAGAATGCCAAGTTCCAGCTGATCTTGGAACGTTAGAGGTGATTACAGAGGAAGCCGGTAGGGAGTTGAGATAAGCAATCATTTAACAGAGAAAATGTGGTCGGAAGCATGAGGTTAAGAAAATATTGAACAAAGAAGCTTCAATTTTGAAGGAGAAGGCATAAGCTAGAAATAGCCATACCTGAAGCCCACAAGGCTGCCCTGTGCTCTCAAATCAAACTTCAAGCACTTTTGCTCTGCTAATGTGAATATTTGATGGCCTGAGATCTTTGCAGTGAATCGCCACCAAGATTTTGATTAGTATCTTTTGGGAGCTCTGATCTCTAGTAAGAAAAGAAACTGAGCTGATGGTGATAAGCTCCACCTGCAGTAAATTCCGGTTCACCTGGAAGTGGGAATGTCTGTTGTGTGCAGCTTGTCAGAGCTTTTTTTTTTCCTGCCTTGAAAGTAGACGGAGAAAAAGGACTGAAAATGTTGCTGTGATTCATTGAAATTATTGCTGTGAACTGTTACAGAAGTAATCTTATAGTAAGAGCCCCCAAATATTTTAAAATTATTCTTTTATTCTATCAAAATTGTTTCTATATTTAAAATGTATTTTAGTACAGGGACTACAGGGTCTCACTACACAGATCAGATTCATAGTGATCCTCCTGTTTTCAGCCTCCCAAGCACAGTTCTGGAGATGGATATTGATACATTTAATGATCCATTTGGATATGTTTCCTATGGTAAAAAGCATGTAAACCACAGCTGAGTCCTTATCATCTTGTTCTTCTAAATGTGTACTGTTTCTGATGTCTTAGCAATTATTATTATATGCTCTTTAAAATAAATTAAAAAATAATTGTGCTGGGATTATGGGCCCGCACCACCACACCTAGTCTTAGTTGCTGTCTCAGTGAACCCCAGGGGTAGGACCAGCATGGAACTCCAGGGATCTCGCCCCAGTCCCTGTGCCTGTCTAAGCAGGTGCGTTAGTCCACTGAGCTATTTGGCAGCCCTCAAACTTGTTTCTGATTTTTTTTTTTAAATATTTACAAGTAATCTTAAAAATTATTCACCTAAGGTGAAGTTCCACACAGCAGTATAATCCTTGTGAAATGTATTTTTCAGACTCTTATCTTAAGGGTGTATGCTACGACTATCAGGATAAATAGAGGCTGGGGAGATGGCTCAGTAGAATAAGTGCTTTCTTGGCAAGCGCAAGGGTCTGAGTTCAATCCCCAGTTCCACCAAAATAAATAAATAAATAAATAAATATATAAATAAATAAATAAAATAAAATAAATAGGACAGCAGTTCCTCAAAAAATGAAACACCAGACTATCACAGGATTCAGTGACGTTCCTTTTGAGTGTATTCTAAAAATAATTGAAGGCATTCTTAAGGAGTTATGTGTATATCTTTCCTAGTGGTATCACTCACAATTGCCTGAGGTAGAAACCACCCCCAGGCCCATTGACAGAAGATGGATACAAAATATATGGTATATGCACAAATTGGAACACTATGCAACTTCGAAAATGAAGGCTTTTTGACATTTGTTACAAGATGGGTGAACTTTAAGCACAGTATGCTGAATAAAATAAGCCAGACAAAAAAGAATGAGTTTGTATGATTCTGCGCACACCGAACAGTCAAATGGACAGCAACTGAAAGTGTGGTGGTCTGTAGAGGCTGTGCGGTGAGTGGACAGGTTACTGGTTAATGAAGATTCAGTTTACAAAGCTGAAGCAGTTTTGGAGTTGGATGTGATACATTTAATGATCCATTTTGATATGTTTCCCTATGGTAAAAACCATATAAACTGTAGCTGAGTATTTCTCCTCTTGTTCTTCTAAATGTGTACCATTTCTAGTGTCTTATCAATTATTATTATATGCTCTTTAAAATAAATTAAAAAATAATAAAGTAAAAAGGTCAAGGAAAAGCTATTAAGCTTTAATGAAAGCAAGCATTAATGTTCCATTATTTGTCCATTCTTACAGACCTGTATCTGTTAATCTGAGCAACAGATTCAATGATAAAAATACATAATATAATAACCATTGTTAATTTGCTTCTTTGTTTTTCATGTTATATATTTGGTACAAGGTCTCACTATGCAGCTCAGACTCACAGTGATCCTCCTGTTTTCAGCCTCCTCAGTACTGGGATTACAGGCATGCGCCACAATGTCCAGACTCTGTCTCTGTGGCCTGCTCAGTGCACCTGGGGGCAGGGCTGGCATCGCATGTGGGACTGGGGATTGAACCCTGGTCCCTGTGCTTGCCAAAGGAGGTACTTAGTCCATTGAGCTATTTTGCTGGCCTATAATTTGCTATTCTTGTTTTGAAAGCGTGCACCATATGTACTATTGTATGTTACACATTTCTGTCTTTATTTCTGCCATTTGTTTTTGCTTTTGTTTTTAGTCTTTAAAATACTTTAAACAGTCTATTTAAAATATAGCCAACAGTAGTAATAACAATGATGATGAACGCTTTTATGTGGTAAGCATGTATCTAGGTGCCTTATTCAGATTGTCCTGTTTAATTTCACTTCATTCTTCTCTTTGGTAGGTGCTATTATTATTTTCCCTCCTCTTTTATCAGTTATTTAAATGAGGCTTCTAGACAGGACAGGAAGGGATTTGCACTCAAGAGAACAGCTTCCAGAGCTACTTGTTTACAATGAAATGTAATAAGCAGACTAAAATGGTTACTACCAGTCTACTTATCAGGAAGGAAACAAAAATTCCAGATATCAAAATTGTCTCTGCAAGCTCTGATTTTCATTGCAAGTTCATTTGACCACATTATGGGTCTAACATATTAGAGTTGTGATACACATGAAAAAGTTGAGGGCCAGGGAGATAGTTCAGCGTCATAAGCACCTGCCTGGCGAGCGCAAGGTCTTGAGTTCAATCCCCAGTACCAAAAAAAAAAAAGAAAAAAGAAAAAAAAATATGAAAAAGAAAAAGAAAAAGTTGAAGCACAGTTTCTTCAAAGCCTTAGAATCAAAATCTGTATCTGCAATGTATACTTTCTTATGCAGATAGTGCATTTTTCCTTCTGTAAAAGAAAAGAACACAAAGTGTAGAAATGTTTGATATTATCACAGTATATGCATTAACTCAGAAGACTTCATCTATGATGTTTTGCTTTAGCATTTGCAAGAATGGGGACTGCCCAGGTAGCTCAGTGGACTAAAGTGCCTGCTTATGCAGAGTGCAGCAGCCAGGGTTCGATCCTGGGTGTGCCTTGCCAGCCCCACCCCCGGGGCGTGATTGAGACTGGGCATGGTGGCGCACCCCTGTAATCCCAGCACTTGGGAAACTGAAAGCAAGAGAATCACTACGAGTCCGATCTGTGTAGTGAGACCCTGTAGACCCTGTACTAAAATTAAAAAATAAATTAGAAAAAATAAATCTGCAAGAATGTTGTGTATTTCTTTCCAAATATGGAGGAGATGGCCTTGTTTACTGTTTCCCTGGAAACAGCAGTGCCCAAATGCTATGCTTACTCTCTTCAGCACAATTAAAAACCATTTTATGGAGCAAATGTAATTTAAAATATTATCCTCAAGCATGGATTTTAATTAACTTCAATCATGTGAAATATATAATGACGATGGTGTTAAAATCATCTTGAAAGCTAAAAATAGCTTTTTTATACAAAATAACAGGGCTGTAAAAAACTTTCCTTAATCACTACATTAATGGCCTTTTCTTTTACAGCTTATTTACAGGTGTTCTGATTATTGATAAGGTGTCTCAGTAACCTGGTTAATAACTTGATGAAGTTAAAAAATGTTGTATCTAAATTTAAGAAAAGTTTCTTAGTAATTGATGAGATCTAAGAATCTCTTATCAGTCACTAGCTCATTAGTATAGTAGTATGTTAGAATTTTCACCATAATATATACTTATATATATGTGATTTTTTCCCATTTTTAGGACTCCACTATTGTTACTCCAATTATTTTGAGGACTGACCCTCAGGGATTTTTCTTTTACTGGACAGATCAAAATAAGGTAAGAAATGAAGTATTTCATTCTTCTGTTTTCCTGTTGCTTACTGGTTTGCAAAGTTTTTATATTAACTCTATAAGCATATTCACTTCAGAGATGACCTTTCATAATCCACTTAAAGATTTTACTTTTACAGAACGTCGAAAGCGAGAAGTCTTAAGTCTTCTCAAGAATATGAATTTGAAATAGTACCTTTACTAAATCCTGAAGTAATTGGTATTTTTCCATTCTGCTTCTATTTGTTTGGACACAAATATGGATATGTAGGTTACATTTAGTGCAGAATATAATTAGACTCCATTACCGATTTAAGTCTCCACTCATAAGCAATGAAGCAAAATGACCCAATGACCCCACAATTGGCTTTTCTTCCCTCTTTCTTCCCAGATTCTCTCAGTATCAATAAGAATTTGATCTTTATAATTACTCATATTGAAAATCAAGGATGTGACTCCTTGAATTTTCTCTTTCAGTTTTCAGGAAGCTTCTCATGTTTTCTACCCACAAACCATGAATTTGGTATCTAATTTATTATGAAACCAATTGATGATTCCATCTTATGTATGTATGTATGTATGTATTTTTATGTGTTTAGTACAGGGTCTCACTACATAGATCCAACTCATAATGATCCCCCCATTTTCAGCCTCCCAAGAGCTGGGATTACAGGTGTGTGCCACCATGTCCAGTCTCATTCACAGTCTCAGTGTGCCCCAGGGGCAGGCCTGGCATGGCAGGCTGGGAATCGAACCCCTGGCCTTTGGGTCTGCGTAAGCAAGCACTTTAATCCATGATGATTCCATCTTGAATTATTAAAAAGTAGAATGCCTGTAGATCATAAGATTCATTTGGGGTTTAATGGGCCGTTAGACCAGAATATTTATTGAAAGTGGTTATCATTTCAAGTTTTACTGGCACAGATCTCCACTTGAACCTGAGAGGCCCAGAATACACAATATTCTGGTCCTGTAACTTCTGGTATTTAGACATAGAGATAGGGATTTTGCAGAGTGCTAAATATATTTTGAAACCCATAGCCTAGCAATCGAAAGTCATTAGAATGGCTGGGAGTGCCACAATTACTGCTAAGGGGAAATAATTCAAATTGTTAGCTCTTTCGAAAGTTCATGTTATATCTCTGGTATCTAAATTTCTTGGACTTGTGACTTTTACCTTGGTGCCACTTCAGTTACCCCATAAGCAGTGGTGTGGAAATGGTCCTCTGCAGTGCTGTGGTGAGGGGTGGCATGGATCCTGGTGGAAGGTTGTAGTGTGGAGCGAAGCTGTGTCTGATGCCAAGCCCAGTCCTTGCACATCACCTCAAAGACAAATTCCAGCCTTGTGGTCCTTCATTCTATTCTATGAATGTCCTGGAAACATCTGTGACTCCAGATGTGGGAATAAACCATAGACTACACGAATGTCAAAAATTATGTTTGAGTAAGATTTCATACTTAATGTTCATGTTTATTACTGGGCGTGTTAATCACTTTGGCTTAGACATTCTGTTTGGTTTCCTGCTGTTATGTATAAAACAATGGCTTGAAAGAAGGTTTGTTTTTCATGTTTTTCCCTCCTCTGAAAGGCTATTTTTAGAACTGTTGAAGCTATATTCATGAAAGATATTTATATTGCCTAGAGCTTTTCTAAAGGTTGGATATTTGTACAAGAGACCTAACTGTCAGTCTGATTTTTCAACTTGTAAATCAAGCTTCTATAAAAGCAACAGAAGATATTTTGGGGTTTTTAAATAATTCATGGCAACTCAGTTAAGCTCTCCTTGAAGACCAATCATAAATATTTCTTGCTTAAGAAAGGGAAAGTGTTTAGAACCAAAGGATCTTGGATGCATCTCTGTTGCTCTATAAACCCAATATTTTGACCCAGGTCTAGGAATTTCTTTCATTCTCTTTTTCTCTCCCAGTGACAATGCTATTTATGCCTAATTGAAACAAGTAATAGGGTAGCAAGCACTTTTATTTCTTTATTGCTTTTCTCTTCATGGATATTAATCTTAGAGTTCAAGCCGAGAGATAATAAGTTTTACTATTTTATGTGTTTGATGCCTAAATCATCTTTCGGCCAGGAAGTTTATTTTTTAGTCAGTGATTTTGTATCTTAGATTCTAAAAGATGAGAAGATTTGAGGAAAAAATAAACTTGCCGTGATTTTGAGTTTGTCATTTTCTTCCTGGCTTTAAGCCTGGTACTGGAAGTGGAACAAGTGATGCACACAGTTTCAGTAGCTGGATTAATGATGTGTTAGTGCAAATGCAGGCTGAAAATTGAGGCATGCAGGGGAAGCTGGCATCCCGCCTTAAGTCGTGGCATAAGATCAGTTGAGGGTACGTGGCCCGGTGGCCCAGTGGTGCAGTTATGATGCTGCTTAGAGGACTACTTTCTGTAAAATACTTCATTTTCTGGCATTACATCTGAAAAGTCTGTTGCATTATTGTATAGAAATGCTATCTCAGGGGACAAAATAGCATGCTTCTAAGTTTATGCCTTGATTTTTCCACTGGTTGAGATGCTGGCACTGGTATGTATTATAATAAATTCTCTTATCGTCTCCCTTTGGGTTTTCCCAACAGAGTCCCCTTTTGGTCCACAAAGTTGTACCGGAGCACGTTGATTAGAAATCTCAAAGCCTGCTTTGTGAACAGAGGATTAGAGCATTTGTATAGGAGTTCCTTCCTTCCTTCATGGTACTGGGGATCAAATTCAGAGCCTTTGCTGAGCTACATCTCCGATCCTTTTTTATTTTATTTTTTGAAGTGTGAGACTCGCTCAGTTGGTGTGATGAGACTGAAGTTTGTATCTTTCTGCCTCCCCAAGTCCTGGTGTTACAGGTGCACACTGCTGTCCCTGGTAAGAGCTTTCTTCATGATGGTATGGGAAGAAAGTCTTCACATTTTGCAATGTCTCACCTACATAATTTGCTTGTCATGGCTTTGTTGTACCAGAGCCAGTACTTTCAAATCAGAGTCGTGCTCCTCCCTACCCCTCCTTTGGTTTGTCACTACTGAGATGATGGGCAAAGAAGAGGCAAAGATGATGCTGTTGGGAATTTAAAATGGAACAAACCAAGCAAATCATTTTTGGGTAGCTGAAATGTGTTTTAGTGAAATTTTGACAGAATGTTTGGGGTTGGTGGAAGCCGATAATTATGAATATCATTTTAGGGATAAATCTTCATACTTTGTACCAGCTCTGGACTTCTTTTGACATTTCTTTCTGGTTATTGTTGACTATCTAAATTTTATTGAATAAATTAGAAAAAGAAGTGTCTGGATGCATCTATTTTAAGCACAGCGGTTTTTCTGTTGCTAATGTAGATTAGGTGAAGAGAAAAGTCTGTTTCTAAGGCCACAGATGGGAAGGAGCTCCTGTCCAGCCTGAGCAATGAAGGGGTCACCTACATGAGGATTAGGACTTTTTGTAGCTTTATGCCACGTGGGCACCAGAACCGTAACAGAAAATGGTAGCCATGAAAGCCACATGAGGACCAGAACCTGTGCCACATTTGTGGCAGAAAGGCTAAAGAAGAAAAAGAGTCAATGTGAAAGAGCTCACAAACAACCATCTTGCTCCCCTGTGAAGTAAAGTAGACGGTTGTCTTGCAACTTGATGCCCTGCGTCTGGGCCAAGGTTGGTGTAAAAATAGAACCGGCCACTACAAGTTCAGATCCAACAACCTCAATATAGTTTAGTGAACTCTTTCTTATAACCCTAAAACAGAAGCTTGGGGGAACGTGTAATGAAGAAGGTGAGGAAAAAAAGCACGCATTTTCAACAATAGACGTTTTCTGTTTTGTTACAGACATCCTATATTTAACTTTGTAAGTGATAACTGATTTTTCTGGAAGAGAGTAAAGCAGTGTAAATATTCCTAACTCCCCTCTTGCAAATACCCCAATCCTAGTCCTTTGTCCAGAGTTCATCTAGGGGTGATAGCTTCCTGATTTTTTCTTAGCCCTCTTTTTAACGACTGGACATCCATAACTATGGAAATGTTTTATTTTGTTCTGTTCGCGTCCATTTTTATCCTAGCTGCCATTGTGTTATTTTTACTGTCCCATGCTTGCTTTTCACCTCACAGGATGTCTTAGAAAACTTTCTATACGTGTATATCTTATGTCTACCTGGTTCTTTTAGGTTGCTCTCTTGCGTATGTCAAAGAATGGATTGCTGATTTTTGTTTAATAATAAAACAGATGCTCATTTATGGACCCACAGTGTATGCTTCTGAGGGCTACAGCAAGCTAACAGTCCCTCAAAACAGAGCCATAGTCTGCCTTGTGTATTGCTCTCTGGATATATGGGGCAAGCGTTCCCTAAAGGAAATGCTTTGAAACACAACTGCTCATTGAAGGCTGTTTGAATCCTAATTTTTAGTTATTGGTTGTGTGATTGTATCAGCCCACCAGTGTTATGTGGGAGGAACTGTTTTCTTAAACCCCAACCAATGCTGTTAGGAAACACTTCAATTTTTGCTAATCTCATGCAACTGTTTTTATCTACTTTAATCTGCCCATGGCTGAGTTGCTTGTAAACTGTGTGTATTTGCATACAGTTTCATGGTCATTTCTCTTTTTCCTTACAGGAATGACCTGCCTATGTTCCTGCCTTTATGTTGATGGTTGACTTTGTATTCTACAAATTAATCCTTTAGATGTTTTAGATGGTAAAAATACATTCCTCCTGTCTATTGCTTGTCTTGCATTTCTGAACATCTAATTTGTTCATGGCAAAATCGACCTAAAGCCTTCAACTTTGCCTCGCTCAACCTTTTTTTTTTTTTGGGGGGGGGTGGTTTTTGAACATTCCTTACCTTTCATTCTTATCACTATCATTCTTGTGAATCTAGGTTTTAAATTCATGCATGACGTAGTTGGGCTGGAGGTGGAGCTCTAAGTTTAATTTCTTCAAACAGATAACTCTTGGTTTGGTGACTCCCTATGCTTTCTGGTTGTAGCCAGCAGTGGTCATGGCCCACTGTCACCT